TTTGTGATCCACTATAATCCTTAGATCCTTTTCTGCAGTACTCCTTCCTAGGCAGCCATTTGCATTTTGTATTTGTGCAATTGATTATTCCTTCTTGGGGGAGGGATAGCTCAGTGGTTTGAGCATTGGCCTGCTAAACCCAGGGTTGTGAGTTCAATCCTTGAGGGGGCCACTTAGGGATCTGGGGCAAAAATCAGTACTTGGTCCTGCTAGTGAAGGCAGGGGGCTGGACTCGATGACCTTTCAAGGTCCCTTCCAGTTCTAGGAGTTGGGATATCTCCATTTCTCAAGTGCCCATTTGTCCATATTGAATTTCATCCTGTTTATTTCAGACCATTTCTCCAGTTTGTCAAGATCATTTTGAATTGTAAGCCTGTCTTTGAAAGCACTTACAACCCCTCCCAGCCTGGTATACTCTGGAAACTTTATACGTGTACTCTTTATGCCACTATCCAAAACATTTCTGAAAATATTGAATAAAATTGGACCCAGGACATATCCCTGCGGGACCCCACTTGATATGCCCTTCCAGTGTGACTGTGAACCATTGATAATTATTCTCTGAGTATTGTTTTCTAACCAGTTGTGCACCCACCTTATAGTAGGCCTTCTCTTCTGTGTATTTATTAATGTGGCTCTTTTTTAATAGCCTGTTTTATAAGAAAAAAAATTTACCAAATGATTTTTACAGCACTAGCTTTTGCATGGAGCGTCTGTCCAGAAACACTGGCTAAAAGCATCCTCCAGCCCAAAAGAAATTAAATTATGCCTGCAAATGAGTCATAAACAAGTGTAAAATATGTGCCTGGAAAGCGATTTAGTAATAGAGGTTTGACATTAAAATTAGTTGAGTAATTTAAACAGTTTGATGGTGACCTTTCAAGGTAGGGGTCCTCCAATCCAAATCACTGCGAATACTATGCTCCTTGAGAAAATCACTCAGAACTCCATATTAAGGTCAAATTCTGCCTAAGTAACAGCAATGTAATCCCATTTTATTTCAGTGGATTTACATAGGGTATGAATTAGCAGGGAATTTGATCTAAATTTGTGTGTAGGAATGCAGAGGTTAAACTTACGAGACCATTCTATGCCCATCCCCCCCAGATTTGTAAACATTTTCAGCATGTCTGAGAAATACTTAGGATCTGATTTTTAGCTCTGCCTCAACCAAGCGTTTGTTTTTGTTGATGCAATGTAGTGTCCATAAGTAATGGCTCCCACATTAAATTCTGGGTTCAAATACCAGCAGTATTGTCAACACCAAGCATTCAAAAATCAAGAGTCAGGCCTCCAAACACTATGAGATTGGTTTAAGAATCATGGGATTGTTTATTTTAAATTAGATGTTTAAAATAATGCATTTTATGTTCTTTTTATTTGCCTTCTGGTGTCTGAACCCTTAGGGTCACAGTTGCTTCACATTTTCAAACTTTTCTCTGGAACCATGAGGCCAAGAAACCTGAGAATCTTATGCAATCCCTTGATTCCAGTATCTGGGGCCTTAAGAAAAACACCAAATACCATGAGACTTGTGATAAAATCATGAGAGTCATAACTCTCTAGCAGCTAGGCATCTAAGGCTGTGTCTACACTACAATCTTTGGTTGACGCAAGTTACACTGACATAAAGCCACAGTTAGTATATCACTTGTGCATGTGCATACTGGGTTCCTTCCATTGTCACTGTGTGTACTCACCAAGAGTGCTTGCGTTGATGCACAGTGTGGGGCACCATGGTAGCTATCTCAGTGTGCAAGCTGCTAGCACACTGTCTTTTGGGAAGTTTTGGCAATGCATGGTGGGGCAGAAACGAGACATACAGGAGTGACTGGGAGCAATGGGTCAACTTCCCAGCATGCAATTGAACCCAACCAAAAATGTCATCTACAGGTCTGTCTCATCTTACGTGGGGGTTCCGTTCCGCGGTTAGCACATAAAGCAAAAACCGCGTATAGCCAAAACCCCATTGAGTTCAATGGCAGGCGAAATCGCCCTCACTACAGGTATAGTATTAAAATTGTTGTTTTTCTCTTTTTTTGTTTTTGTTTTTTTGTTTTTGCCGACCGCGTAAAGTTGAAATTGCGCATGTTAAATGCGCGTAAGATGCGACAGACCTGTATATGCATAATTTTCATGCTTTTTTTAAAAATCCCAAGAACCCACATGACCCCCTCCTTTGCTGTCTGCCATCAATGACAGAAGCATCTGCCCTATTGTGAAAAGAGTTGTTAGAAGAGAATACACAATCCTCCAGTATTTGCAGAGCTGTAGGAAGAATAGAATCATTGGGGAACTTGATGATTTCTTGGAGGACAGATCACTGTGGGACATAGCGAGAACCAGTTCAAGGTTGTTGGTGGAGTTCATGGAGCAGCTACAGATGATGGAGTGCAGCTTCTGGGACTGAAAAAATGAGCACTGATTGGTTGGATCGCATTGTAAAGCAGTAAGATATCTGATACAGTTCCATATGGGAAATTATTAGTTAAATGGGGATTAATGTGAGAATTGAAAGGTGGATAAGGAACTGGTTAAAGGGGAGACTACAATGAGTCATACTGAAGGGTGAATTGTCAGGCTGAGGGAGGTTACTAGTGAATTCCTCAGGGATTGGACTTGGGACCAGTCTTATTTAACATTTTCATTAATGACCTTGGCACAGAAGGTGAGTGTGTGCTAATAACATTTGTGGATGACACAAACTTGGGAGGTATTGCCAATATGGACTAGCCAAGATGATCTTGAAACCTGGAGTAACAGAAATGGAAATAAATGTAATGGTGCAAGGTACGAGTCATGCACTTAGGTACTTGCAAGAGGAATTTTTGCTATAAAATGGAACTTATCAGTGACTGAAGCAGAGAAAGACCTGGATGCATTGGTCAATCACAGGATGACTATGAGGCACCAATGTGATGCAACTATGAAAAAATCTTATGCAATCCAAGGATGCATGAGGTGAGATATTTCCAGTAGAGACCGGGAAGTGTTATTACTATTATACAAGGCACTGGTGAGACCACCTCTGGAATACTGTGTGCAATTCTGGTTTCCCATGGTTAAGAAAGATGAATTGAAAGTGGAACAGGTGCAGTGAAGGGCTAGTAGGATGATCAGAGGAATGGAAAACCTACCTTCTGAGAGGAGACTCAAAGAGCTTGGCTTGTTTAGCCTAACCAGAAGAAGGCTGAGGGGAGATACAATTGCGCTCTATAAATACATCAGAGGGATAAACACCAGGAGGGAGAGAAGTTATTGAAGTTAAGGGTCAATATTGGCATTAGAACAAATGGATATAAACTGGCCACGAGCAAGTTTGGGCTGGAAATTAGACTAAGGTTTCTAACCATCAAAGGAGCGAAGTTCTGCAACAGCCTCCCAAGGGGAGCAGTGGGTTCAAAAAACCTAAGTGGTTTCAAGACTGAACTTGATAAGCGTATGGAGGGGATAGTATGATGAGATTGCCTGCAATGGCATGTGGCCTATCTGCGACTGCTAGTAGCAAATATCTCCAATGGCCAGGGATGGGGCACAAGATAGAGAGGACTCTGAGTTACTAAAGAAGATTCCTTCCCAGGTTTCTGGCCCCTGGGTCTCACCCACACACTCAGTGTCTAACTAATCATTGTATATAGGGTCAGGAAGGAATTTCCCCCCAGGTCAGATTGGAGGGGACCCTGGGTTTTTTTTGCCTGCCTCTGCAGCATGGAGCACAGGTCACTTGCTGGTATGAACTAGAATAAATGGTGGATTCTCTGTAACTCAAAGTCTTTAAATCATGATTTGAGGACTTCAGTAACTCAGCCAGAGGTTAGGGGTCCTTTACAGGAGTGGGTGTGTGAGGTTCTGTTGCCTGTGATGTGCAGGAGGCCAGATTATATGATCACAATGCTTCCTTCTGACCTTAACATTTGAGTCTATAAAACAATGTGCATTGGATGAGCGAGCTCAGAACAGACATGAATAAGAGATAATGTCAATATTGTTTAAGGGAAGGGGAATTCTAGCTGCCTTGTCCTGGTGTGGCTTTGGATCCTCATTCATGCTAACGATGATTGTGAATTGTGTTCACGCATCATGCTAGCCACAGGCTGCTTCAGTGAGTAGGAAGCCCCGCCTCCGAATCTCTGCTTGGTTTCTTGCTGTAGTCTGTGCAGTGCCATTGTCACACATCAAGAATGCTCGTAATACTCCATTATTTGGAAAACATGTAGCAGCAAGAATATATTTTTCTACTGTAGGATGATCTAGCAGAATATTTACCAGATTTTTAAGATGCAAGTAGACAGGAAGCTCCAGGTTATCTCAGAATCAGCACATTTATCTGAATCCTGATTTGACCTTTATAGATGTATAAAACCAGGTTTGCAGACCCTTTACTTCAGGGTTAGTTTGGATTTTGCTATCCATTCCTCTTTCGCAGAAGCAGTTTCCATGCTGCTCATTTAAAAATCCTTTGTTAGCTTAGCACCCCTTCCTTCCGATTCAGTTTAATTTTTTTCGCAGCTTCCCTTGGAGTTTGGCTATCAGCAGAATTTGTTAGCGACAACTGAAGAAAAGTCATCCTTAATTGGTCATCCCTATTTGAAGTAATAAATGTGACATAGTGTATAATGAGCAGACTGCTAATAAATGTTTAAAGAATGAGAATACCTAACACTTGTATCAATGTGCTAGAAATCACAGTTTCTATTTAACAGCATAGTTGTAACTGCAGAGTGCCTGATCCCTTTTTGAGAATCTCCTGGCAACCTGAGTTCATATATTGAAAGCACTGCTGGATGGGCTTTGTGGTTTGTGAGTATTGCAGGGCTAATCCCTATGGTTCTTTGATTATGAGCATGTGCAGAGCAGCCCAGCGTACGGTATGTGCATGTAGAGCTAACACAGAGACTTGCCTTGCAATGCCATGTTTCTGTATGTGTTCCAGCAACTGAAACAATTGGGGAGGCTGCCTGCTTTATTGACTAACTGATGTTTTCTTGTTTCTGTTTCAGTATTCAGGATCATTCCTTCAACAATACAGCTTTAGCAGAGTAAGTGAATAAATATTTACCTATACCATTAAATAAGAATGATATGTTAAGCAGGGCAGAGAATAATTTTAAATACTATTTCAAAAGTGAAAAAGCTTTCTGGGACATTTTATGATGCACAGTCTTCTGGGATTTTAATATTTTATTGAAAATATGCTGAATATGATGTAAAACAACAATATTTACATATGGTTCACTAGCCATTAGTAATGGGCTGGCATTATGAAAGAATATCTTTGTTGCTGTTTTCTGCCATATATATTTTACATGTGTTTGAATATATGATTGTATGTATACTGTACATCTCATGAGAAAATATTGCTAATTCTTTTACTGATCATGACAAGCAAAAGTGTGAGTTTTCTAAGAGCACATGGGCTATGCTTACTGTCAGCATTGGCAGAAAATATTCTTTAAGAATGTTTTGAGCAAAACACTGCATTATTTAGACAGGTTCAGGATCTGAATGCAGTTTCCCTTTGCAATTAATGCAGTAAACTTTTGACATGCACACACACCCTTTGGTTTTAAAGAAATATGTTTTGCCTTTTTATCTTAGGAAGGTGGACAGACAGCAGAACAGTAGAAAACATTGTAAAGTTACAAACACTGAGATGCCATTAGCAATTTAAAAATTAAATATACTTCTGGTTTTCCTTAAAGGAACATGCTTTAATTTCAGATGTGACTATTCTGCATTATTCATTGACATTAGTACAGCTCTTCTTGGCTCTGAAAAATATGTATTGTGACCCTGTTTGTGTTTCATAGGTATTTTATCCCCAAATTTCACACTTGATTATATTTCAGAAGACTGCTCAGCTGAATTGTGGCCAGCAGTTTCTCAGAAGGGAGATGATTTATAGATTTGTTTGCATGTAAGGTACATTTCACATTGCTGAAATGCTAGGAATAAAAAGCCTAAGATGATTATGAACTGTTTGCTAAAATGTTGCAGGGGAAATTATATATTTTGAAAGCAGTTTAGGTTGTTACTCAGTTTGAGCAATCCATACGTGCTGTCAAACTGACTAGAGAAGAACGGATGTAACATTTTTCTAGGGATTCCAAACACCTTTAACTTCCTATATACCTCTCTCACTTTGATTCATGTATTAATTTTATCTCAATTTTTGGAGTGCTACAGTAATCAACATGAAATTAAATGGCATAAAAAACCAGAAAATGGTTTTTAATATTATTTTTAATTAGTTTTGCCACAATACAGCTCCACCTTTAAATGCGGTATTGTGGCACAGTGGGGTCTAAAATGAAGGACAACATGTGGAACTTTTCAAATGAGGGATGAAGTAGAACATCACATTTTTAATACTTTCCCCAACCTTTCTCTTCCTCAGCCTCAGGGTTCCCCCTGCCTGAGCACATCTTTGCCTTTCCCCTAGTTGTGCCGCTAGGGCCAATGGTGCAAGTCTTTCTCTGCCAGGCTTCCTGTCACCGTAAAGACCGGAGGAAACATTGCAGAGAGGCCTGCTTTGTAGTGTAACCCACACACCACCTGGGTGTGGTGTTCTGTCCCATCTAGTGGCACTGAGACCAGTTAGAGAGAGAAAGAAAGACAGTGAGTTTGCTCTTCAGCCTTAGCTAACAGCCAGTTGCCTTTTAGCTCATGAGATAGAGGCTCATGCACTAAGCTCCAGAGGCCCCAGGTTTGATCCTGCCTGCCAATGACTGGGGTCTGTTGGCATTATACTAGCATTGCCAATATGGAAAAGGAGAAGGTAGGGTATGTGCACAGCAGCCACTACTGCACTGGGACCTGGTGGCAGCAGGGTGGAATAGCAGGTCCTTGGTCCAAAGGCATCTGAGAAATGGGATATCCCACATAGTGTGGGGCACTGGAGAAGTTTGCTAGGCACACAGTAGAAACAGAACCCTGTTTTCACATGGAATTTGTCTTTCTCTTTATTTTTAGCAAGTTTATAAATCCGGGGGGCTTGAAACATACTTTCAAAAAACCTACTTGGGCCAAAATTGTCAAATATGGGTGCTAAAGTTAGATGTTTTTATCCCTACTTAGGCACTGAAATAAAAGATGCCAGATTTTCAGAGGTGCTGAGAACACAATGCTCCCATTGACTTTAGTACAAATTTTTCATGCTGCGCACTTCTGAAAATGAGGTCACTTCTATTTAGCAGTGTAAATGAGGATCTAGGTACCTAACTTTAGGCATCCAATCTTGGCCTTACATTCTGAAGCACAATTCTGTTGCAAGGGGAAGATGCTGCAGAATCATACAATACACAGGACCTTGATATAAAACATCAAACTTCACTTTTTTCCAGGGACCTTTCTTCAGATAAGCCAAAAGTCCAGAGCTGCCAGGCTCCTAGTGGGCTATATGTGCATCTGGTGAATGAGAAGTTATTGTTTATATGCATGTCTTAAATGTCATAGCCTCAAAGTAGATGCAGCTTTCCAGGTGCTCAGAAAGGTTTCCTCTCTAGTCAGACAAAGAAGGAACAAATCACAATACATCCACTAAATCCCACATTCTCTGGGAAAATGGTACATAGGAATTGCCATATTGGATCAGATCTGTCCATCTAGTTGCTCTGCTGTCTCTGATCATCCGGTGCCAGATGCATCAGATGAAGGTCATTAATGGAATAACCTACCACTAAGGGACATCTCCCTGCTCTTTAAAAAAAAAATCCTATGTAGTGTAACTGGGTATTTTCAATATCCATGTAGTGCAATACACTAATCCTTTTTAAAATCCTGCTAGGGTCTTAGCCTCAAGCAATACCTTGTGGCAGTGCATTTCACAGGTTAACTTGGTATTCTGTTGGGTTTTTTATTTTTTTTATCAGTTTCAAATTTGATACCTTTTAATTTCATTGTCCCCTTGTTCTTATGAGCTGAGTAAATAGAAACACCCAATTGTCTTCTCTATGCTATTCATTATTTTGTATACTTCCGTACTGTCCTCCTTGATTAACATTGTGTAATGTTCACATAGGTGTCTTATAATTCTGTTTTTATTTATTATTTCAACCAATTACCTGGTATTGAAGTAAGGTTCGGTGCTCTGTAGTTCATAGGATCACCCCTGAGCAAACTCAGTGGAACCAACACGCAGTGGATTTGCTCAGTACAGGGGAGAATCCCGGGGATTTGCTCAGTAGAGGGGAGAATCCCCAGGCAGCATTCAGTTAGTGTATGTATGCTGCATCCCTTGCAGTCCCTTCATGTAGGTGATGTTCCTGGTGAAGAAAGTCATGGCCAGGAGTGCCTATATGCTCTGACTATTCTTGGCTGTCAGAGTGGTCCCTTAGAGCCACAGAGAGCCAGGTATGAGTAAGAGCAGCTCAAATTGGCCACCAGAACAGGAGAAGTGTAAAGGTGGTATAAAGTTAACTTTTCCTCTGGCTCTCTGTTCCTGTCACAAGCTTAGCTTGGAATGGAGAAACTGGGCCAGTGTGGAGCTTCTATTCAAAGCAGAGTTGAAACCCTATCTACTGGCATTCTTAATTGATTCAGATAGGCCCCAGCCAAGCCACACAAACCTCTCACCCAATAATTGCCCCTCTCCTAAACAGGTCTAGGCTCTCACTTATTTTAGTCTCCTGTGGGGAACCTTGGTGGCATTCTGCTCCCTTCTGGTGTCTTCACTGGGCAGATTAGCAGGGCCATTCCACCTCTGTCAAGGAACATTATTCCTCTCTATCGCCTCTCCTTGTGTTCTCCCATCTCTCTTTCCTCTCCCTGAAAGTTTCCCTGATTTTCCCAACTCCTATCCCCAAATTTTCCAACTGATTTTTCCTTCCTCAATTTTAGATGAAGATTTCTTCTGGCAAGTGGTTTTCTCCCTTTAACACTGGTTAGCTGGAGAGTGGCTCTCAGGGCCATTCCCCTACCAACATTAAACCATAGGAGAATAGAGGAGGCAACACTCCACTGGCAACAGGAGCTCTATGGAGAGGCTTGCTATTGGAACTGTTTCTGCAACTGCAATGTATTACTCAGTATACATTGCTTCTCTTCCTTGTCTGTAGTTCTGTAGGCAGAATCCCAGCATGGGGGTCATACTCATGCCCAAACAAAGGTCACATTAACATACTTGCAAAAATTAGCACTACTGTATTACCTAAACATTGAGACGCTCAGCAGTTTTAAAGAGAGAAATTATTTCTTTCTTTTAAAAGAAATGCACTCAAGGCATCCTCAGTGGATGCATTCATTAACCCTTCCCTCCCTCCCCCAAAGGTAGGTCAATGCAGGAAGTGTAAACAGATTGAGAGAGTATCCCTTTAAATAATTTCATCAGCAGCTTGCCTGTTGATAAAGATACCAGCAGAAGACTGGCAGGGAGAGGAGCATATTAAAATCTTACCATCAAATTGCCATGGAGGGATACACGTTTATCATTTAACGTGTTCTTTCCAGAGCCAGGCAGCTTTCGTCAATAATTAATGAATCAACTGAATTACAGGTTGCTTCCCACATAATGAATAGATTCTTCTGCCAGCTAGCATCAAGTAATCCAGGCCTGTTCAGTGTTTGTGCAGTGTGAGTATGAGCAGAGGGTGAAGAGAAGAGGGTGGGGGAGGGGCAAACATTTGTCCAGAATTAATAGAGTGGAAGGTAGACTCTTCTTTATATCTGGGTCTAGATGGCAAGAGAAGCCTCCATTGTGCATTGCAGTTTGGATCTGCAGATCGTCTTGCACTCAGCATTGCAAAGTTAATCTATACTTGATGTCATTCTGAATCTCTGGTCAACAGTATTTAATGTAACGGCATTTTCTCCTTCTAATTATGGTCTTGGAGGAAAAAATGCACTGTGTGTTAAGTTAATTACTGTTTATAATACTTTGAGCAAAGTAGGCTTTTAGCAATTAAAAAGAAGGATGTGTCCTTTATTTTCTACAATTTTAACAGTAGAAGCTGCATTTTATTTGTCATGGATTTCCAGTAAGACAAAAGAGAGTGAGCAAATGGTCTATCTAATTCTGCAGAAAATCAGATTTTAAAATATCACAACAAACTTTGCAAACAGAGAAACTATGCCATGAATTGACGTCAATTAAAGCTTGAGAAAGAGGAATGTTTAGAGAATTGTACGTGTCACTTCAAACTGACCAGTTTTGTTACTGAAAAGATAAAGTATGCAACTGGCAAAAAGTCAATAATGATTTTATATCCATTTTCAAGGTGTGACGAGGATACAGAGTCTGTACATGAAGACCAAGCAGCAAGCTCCGTCCACAGGTATTTACTCTATATCTTATCCGAAAACCCTTGGCAAGGGATCTGACTTTCTTTCATCCCTATCTATCAGGGATCATCTGTTAATGGTAACCAAAAACTCAAGGGTCATCATCACTGAAAATTAAAATTCTTCTAAATTACAGAATAGTTTAGTTTAAGTATTATTGAGATGAAAATCACCCAGGGTATGTTTGTGTATTTCTGCTTTTGGACGACACAGCTTAGCATTCCAGACAATTTAAAATTTAGACAATTTAAAACCAACTGTATTTCAATATATTTCTAGAACTGCCTATGCAAGAGAAAGCAGCCCACCCAGTAACAATAATAGCTACCCGGACCAAACTTTCTATCCACAACCCATTTCCTTGGGGGAAAAGTTTTGGTGCCTACGAGGTTAACACATCTGGGCCCTGGTGAGCCAAACAGGGAAAAGCCAGTTCTGTAGGTGGGGTCCCAATACAGAGAATTCTGTGTCAACGGGCTGCTCTCTATTAAACTCCTGAGGTGGTCCAACTCAAGCTTCTCTGATAATCTCAGCTGTTGGAGTTCAGACAGGGAGCGAGGTGATCTCTCAAGTAGTCAGGTCACAAATCTTAGGGCTTTATTGGTTAAAACCAACATCCTGGCTTCCACGTGAAAACTGGCAGCCAGTGTAGAGTACAGAGCATGGCCGGTAACCTATTCTCTCATGATGCACTGCTTAGCAGCCCCACTCTCTCACTAGCTTAAATTTCTGAATAGTTTGATTGTGTAGTTCTATACAAAGTGTATTATAGGAATCTAACTTCGAAGTAACAAAGGCATGGATAATTGCAGCAAGGTCTGCATCTGGGAGGAAAGGTTGTACTCTGCTTGCCAGACAAAGATGAGACTTCTGTCCTAGCCACAACTTTTACCTGAGCTCTCAAGAGTGTCCCAGGGTCTAATTAAACCACCTAGACTGTGATTTGCTGTTATGCATGGTGACCCTTTCCTGCAATCAGGATTCTGATATAATTTTCACCAACTTGTCCAGCTGCCTCCCACAAGCTACCAAACTTATCTCATTTTTTTTCTGGACTAAGATGCGGTGGGGAAGGAGTGTGAGTACTGGATGCCTTCCTCTAGGAAGTGATAGTGACTGCCTGGGAGGGAGTGGAGGGAAGGGCAATGGTATGGCTGGAATCTAGGCTAGGAAAGATGAAGCGGGAACATGTCTGGACATGAGGTAGGAAAAAGAAGGCAGGCATGCTTTTGCTCCTCTCAGCTCAAAACCTGTCCTACTCTGGCTGTCCAAATCCTACTTCATATACCCTTCTTTCTCCCTTATTCCAGCAGACATGGAGGGGATATAGTAGCCCAGAGGAAGGGTGAAAAACTGAGTGGAAAGAGCAAGGAGATATGAAAGGATGGGGAAGGGAGTTTGCTGAATGAGGTCACGGATGTAGAAAGCCACAGTTTGTGTGAGGGGAAAGACCACAATATTAGTAGGGCTACAGCCCAGCTAAACCAATGACTTCTGAAGCCTGTGGCATTGGGTGATGATATGGGAAAAGATGCTTTTGACTTTTAGTATGGGAAGGCAAAAAAGTAGCAACTCTAAGGCCATATCTATGCTGCAAACATTGGTCAATGCAAGTTACATTGGCATAAAGCTGCCACAGTTAGTATATCACTCATGCGTGTGCACTTGACTCCTTGTGTTGGCACTGCATGTATTCATCGGGAGTGCTTGGGTCAATGTGTGGTGCACATTGGATAGGTATCTTAGTATGCAACTCCCCGCCATCTGGAACACTGTCTCTTGGGAACTTTGGCACTGCATAGTAGGGCAGAAGTGAGTTGCATAGGGGTGACTGGGAGGAAGGGGTCAAGTTCACATCAAGCAGCTTTCTCCATCCTATAATGCCACCCCTACCCCATAATTTTCATGCCTTTTAAAAAATCCCACAAAACCCTGCAGCACTTCTGTCTGTCTGCCATCTCTGACAGAAGCATGGAGCCTGAGCTCCTAAGAGTGTCTCAGGGTCTAATTAAACCTCTCTTCACTATTGCACTATTGTTATGAGAACTGCAAACACAGGACGAACGATCTCTGGTATTTGCAGAACCATAGGAAGAACCTCAGCAGTGTGGGGGACATGACAATTTTGTGGAAGACAGATTGCTGTGGGATGTAGCAAGAACCAATTCAAGGTTGTCGGTGGCACTTACGGGGAAGCTGCAGACAGTAGTGCTGCTTCTGGGCCTGAGAAACAATCTCTGACTCAGGGATCAGCAACCTTTGGCACGTGGCCCACCATGGTACGCACCCTGGCCGGCCGGGCCGGTTTGTTTACCTGCCGCGTCCGCAGGTTCGGCTCCCACTGGCCGCGGTTCACCGCTCCAGGCCAATGGGGCAGCAGGAAGCAGCGGCCAGCACATCCCTCAGCCCGCGCCACTTTCTGCAGCCCCCATTGGCCTGGAACGGCGAACTGCAGCCAATAGGAGCCACGATCAGCCGAACCTGCAGACGCGGCAGGTAAACAAACCGGCCCGGCCTGCCAGGGTGCGTACCATGGCGGGCCACGTGCCAAAGGTTACTGATCCCTGCTCTGACTGGTGAGAATGCATTGTAATGCAGGTTCAGGATGATGAGCAGTAGCTGCAGAACATTTGGATGTGAAAGGCCACGTTCCTGGATCTGGATGCCAAGCTCTTCCCAGCTCTAATGCAGGGACACCAGACTAAGAGATGCACTGACAGTTGACAAGCGAGTGGCGATCACACTGTGGAAACTTGCAACTCCCAATTGCAGCTGGTCAGCAGGAAACCGTTTTGGAGTTGTCATGCGAGTATGTGGGGCCATTAATTGTGTCCTGCTACACAAGACTGTGACTCTCAGTACTGTACGCGACATAGTGGGGTTCCCGAACTGTGGTGGAGCAATAGGTATCACGTTATTGCTATTTTGGCAACAGATCACCTTGCCCCAGAGTACTTCAACAGAAAGGGCTACTTTTCTATGGTTATGTAACCCTGGTGGATCACCAGGGATGCTTCACTGACATCCGTGTGGACTGGTCAGGGAAGGTTCATGACACTCACATCTTTGAGAACACCGGACTGTTCAGAAAGCTGCAAGTAGGGACATTTTTTCATGACCAGCAGATTACCATTGGTGGTGATAAAATGCCAATAGTGATCCTGGAGGACCCAGTCTATCCCTTGCTTCCCTGGCTCATGAAGTCATACACTGGCCACCTCAACAACACCAAGGAAAGATTCAGCTACCAGCTCAGCAGGTGCAGAATGGCAGTTGAATGTCTATGGGTGGTTGAAGGGATGCTGGTGATGTTTACTCACGAGATCGGATCTCTGCAAGAGGGGGAAAAAACAGTGGTTATAGCTACCTGTTGTGTCCTGCATAATATCTATGAAACAAAGGAGGAAAAATTGCCGCCACAGTGGAGATGAAGCATGTTTCTCCTGAGTTTGCACAGCCAGCCACAAGGGCTATTGGAAGAACTTAATGCGGAGCTCTACAGTCGAGAGAGGCCTTGACAGAGCACTTTAACGGTCAGCCACAGCAATGCATTGTGTGGACTGTGCCCTACTTGTCCTGAAGTTTTGGGGGCTTTTAGGAATTGTATGGTCCTTGGTGTACATTTATTAATATAACACTGTCTGGCAATGTGCCTATTAATTATATGGTGCTTGCTGTGAATTTATAATTATTACACTGTGTTTGTCACTGATCCTATGAGTTTTGTTGACCTCTACAATAACGGGTCGTGGGAGCTTTCAGTAGTGCTATGCATTCTCCAGCATATGTTATGAAGTCATAAAGATCGATTATTTACCAAAAATAGATTTTTATTACATAACAAAACCAGTGCAAAAAAGGTGCAATTAAAAAAGGCATTCAATAAAAACTTCTAAAATAAGTTAATGGAACAGAACTTAATAAGGGGACAGAACATTCATATACATTTTGGCTACCCATACAGCAACTGTGACTCTCACAAGTCAGTGTATGTGAAGCTGTGTTTTTTCTACTGTCCCTTGAAAAAGCTCCCTGTCCTTTTTCTGCTGGGACTCCTGGACTTTTCTTCTATCTGCTTTCTTTCTTTCTCCAGGCCGTCTGCAATGTTCACCCTCCAAGTACTCTGTTCATGGTCCAATGCAGCACTGGTTTGCAGGATCTTGATGAACATATCCTCCTGTGTCCTCTTCTTTCTCCTCCTTATCATGGTCAGGCAATCTGCGGATATGGAGGAATGCAGTGGTAGCATCTACGGATAAAACATACAGAGGTGTCATTGTAGGTATAGTGACAGCAGAAAGTGCAAGTTAAGTTTCAGAACTTCCTTCCCTTTTGTCCCCTAACATTTTAAACACGACATGCTTATTGCTACTTCTGCCTTGGAGCACCTGTGCACAACACGCCTATCCAGTCCCAGCCACACTGAGTATGGCCAAGGACAGGTGTAGGGAATGGGGGGTATGAGGAGGGAATTGTTTGGTGGCATGAAACAGTAAAAATTTGGCCCCTATTTCCATGTGTATGAGTGCAAGTTAATAGCACTGAGCACCAGCGCTGTTTTTCCCAGGCGATGGTGATTTTAGCTGATATCTCACTCCCAAGGGTAATGAAGAGAGCACAGCAGTTACTTGTGTCCCTAAGCCACCTGGACCCATACTCTGCTAGCCTGTTTACTGCAGTGGTGCCTGCCGAAGACATCAGAGACCGGTGTGGGAATGTGTCCTATCACAGAGCAATAAGGCTGCCAATACTAGAAACCTTCAGAAGAAGATTGCAGACTACCTCCAAGAAAGTTGCAACAAGATCTCTCAGGAGAATTCAAGGCACATACCTGTGTCTATAAACCAAGTACTGCTCATGGGCAGCCCAGCTAACTCTCTGCAGGGAATGAAAAGGAGATAACAGCTCCACCTCTCTTAGTTATACTGCTACCTCTTCTAGTATAAGTCAATACCTGTGTTCTGCTATGTTGGGGTCAGGCACCATCTTGGCATTTCAACATTACAATAGGAAATGCCTTCACGCTTACCTGAGGTTCCTTCCCCTGAATGGGGCGCACCCGCAGGGAGTTACTGGACTACGTGGAGTCTCGGGCAGATTCTGGCTCACAGCATAGCTGGACCCCGCAGTTGTATGTACCCCATCTTCCTCTTCTTTGCTGTTCAAAACAAGGGGTCTGTGTCTTGGGCTCATTGGAGAGATCCATGTCGCTTTGTGGGGTGCAGCTCATTGTAAAAACAGGCCTGTGGCTTGGCACCGAATCGACTGTTGAGCTCCCTGGCCTTCTGGCATGCCTGCTGCAGTTCCTTTGCTTTTATGCAGCATTGCTGCTGATCCCTGATCTGCCCATTCACTGCCTGTAGATGTCCATGTTTCTACAACTACGCCATAGCTGCGCTTGAACAGCCTCTTCTCCCCACAGGCCCAGATGTGCATCTAAAGCGTGGCATCAGCATGGTTGGTTGGGCAGTTGCACACAAGAAGGGAGAGCTGCTAGGTGTGCATGTCAAGTTGGGCAATCAGGAAAAGGCATTTCAAAAATATGCAGGTTTTATAAAAGGAGGGGGGATGGCTTCTGCTCTCCGGAACCACGGGGCTATCGCAGTCAGTGTCAGGCATTGTGGGACAGCTTCTGGACGACTGTTAGGGTTGACATAAGTCACGTGGTGTCTGCACTCACACGGTGTCAACCACAGTAGATTGACCATGGTTCAAAGCCATTTGGAGAGCTGGTGTTACTGTGTTGCCTTAACAGGATGCTTACATCAGTGAGAGACAAATTTGAATATAGACGTATGCACAACTAGGTCAATGAAAGGCAACTTATGTCGACCTACCTTTGTAGTGTAGCTCAGGCCTCACAGTTTACAGACCCCTAAATTACAGTTGCTTAAATTACTCTATATACAAATGTGTACTCATGCATTTAGCACAGAGGTAGGCAACCTATGGCACACGTGCCAAAGGCAGGATGGGAGCTGATTTTCAGTGGCACTCACACTGCCGGGTCCTGGCAACTGGTCTGGGGGGCTCTGCATTTTAATTTAATTTTAAATGAAGCTTCTTAAACATTTTAAAAAACTTATTTACTTTGCATACGACAATAGTTTAGTTATTTATTAAAGACTTATAGAAAGAGACCTTCTAAAAACATTAAAATGTATTACTGGCACACGAAACCTTAAATTACAGTGAATACATGAAGACTCGGCACACCACTTCTGAAAGGTTGCCGACCCCTGATTTAGCATATGATCTGATAATAAACTGCAGACTATAACGGAGACTTGTTTTATTAACATACACAATGTTTAGCTCATATGTGTCCTTACCCTGGCAATGCTAACATATCAAATAAAACTGAGACCTTGGCACCAGTCCTCCTCAGTATTGTTCTGAGAGATGGCTAAAATCCTGCTTACACCTTTTGGTTTTATTTTCTTCTAGAGATGAAAACAACAAAGAAAACTATCCCAACAACACTACAGTCTTAGAGGACAGCCAGCCAGCATTACGAGATACCCAGCAGCACGTGGAACAGACAGCTCATGACTGTACACTACGGGTTGGAATGGGCAATTTAAAATTAAGAAAGCCCAAATCCATTGCAAAACTAGAAAATGGGAAAAACCATGAAGAAAGTCAGGTAATAAAATAAAATGTATCTATTTCTGCTAGATATTTATGGTGCGGTGTCATAGCAGGAATATGTTTTAAATGCAAAGTGATGCAAATGATAGCATTATTAATCCCTGCTCTGACTCACCTCCACAATGATTTGGGCTATGTATCTGGTACAAGTGACACTGCAGTTGAAGTAATTCTTTCAGTAAGGGAATCATGCAGAATCAGTGAGAATTCCCTGATATAGTGATAGATTCTGAATCCGCAACTGCTCACTGCTGAGAGTAAGGGTGTCATAGTATGGCCCATAGTGAGGACGTGCAAATTATTTCTCCTTCTGAGTTATCTTCTTGTATTTCCTGGACGTGCTGGAATAACGGCAAGATCTTTCTCTTGTGTGGCTTGTGCTAGAGATTTAGACTGGTGTCTATGTCAAACCACTAAATACTGTAATGGTTTATTAATTCTTAGTTATTAGGAGATATTTGGTAAGATGGCTGGAGGATGTTACATCTTATCCCTTTATCCTGTTCAGTGGGTATGAAAAATTAGTGAAAATAATATACTTAGGGTATGTCTACACTGCAGCTGGGAGTGACTCTCCCAGAGAGGGTAGACAGACTCTCACTAGCAGCACAAGGGGAAGTATATCAGGAAAAGCAGCTGATCAGGAGGGCAAAAAGTAAGGGGGAGAGATGATTGATCTCTTACCCTCTTGTTAATTATTTTTCTTGCTGCCCTGAATCTGTGCCCCCTTTCAGTTGTCATGTATGTCACACCTGTATCTCAAACTCACTAAAAGCTAAAGTTGGGCAAATCACCCATTGTCAGCTCATTTGCCCCATTTTTATCTCACCAGTGAGTTTGGCTCAAAGAATTTAACTGAGAATGTTGGTTTAGTTTTATGTAGTATTTTGTGATCATGTAATTAGATCTCCATAAACTATTGATGCAACTGAAAAGTGCAACATCTGGAGGGGGAAAACCTCCAATAAGCCATGAAGTTTTCCTGTGATACAGGGTTTGGAATGGGGAACAAAAAAGTCATGATGAGTTCCACTCCCACCCACTCTTCCCCAGGCCCTGTTTCCAATCAGTGAGAAGTGTGGTACCATTCTGCCCCCACCTCTGAACTGAGCACTGATACAGTATCTCATAGATAACAGAATTAGCACTATGAATATGATTGGTTCCCACATAAAATAAATGTTACTTCATCACAGGAAGTTAAAGTACTCTCATCATTGATTGGGCTATAGTTTGGGCCCCGATCCAGCAGTGAGCTCTCCAGGGACAGACCTCTTTGACTCATTGATTTCAGTGGAGTCTGCCCACATGAAGCAGCTCGCTGGATTGTGGCTTTCTGGGGAAAATGTTTCCCAAGGTGCACATTTTACAAACTCCTAGTTCACTCTCATGTAAGAGACTATGCATTCACCTAAGCCCCATCTGCAGGCCCGGTGTGGCTGCATGGACCTCTAGGTTTGTTTTGTTGTTTTCTTGAACCAAGTGTACATCTGGCACCCAGGCTGTTGTTTAAAGTGCTTATGAAAAGTAAGGGCTCTGCTTATAGAAAAGTTCAGAGGCAGTTTTTCAAGTCAAGAGCTCCAATATACTATAACCTTCAAATTCTAAATCGCTTTGTCTGTTTTAGTAACTGATTTTATCTAATGTGCTTCTTTCCATTCTGACTCTCTGCTTTACTTGAAATTGAAAACAAAGTGTTGTTATTTTTCTAGGAGCTGCTGATTACATGGCAAGTTGCCATTATCTTGAAAAAGGGAAAGAGACTGATGATTTGAAACAGCATGCTACTGTGCACACCTGGGCTCCTTCTAAACATATTGCCACCACCAAGCCTCTCAACAAGTTCACAACTGTACACATAAGGCAGCCAATATGCATCTCACTGGCTCTGCTGCCTAATTATGTTCAATTGAAAATGAAAACGAGAATGCCCTCCAAATAGTGATTAAGCCATTCTAGTTCAAGTGATTCCCTATTTTTATTGATACAGAATGTTCCTTTAATGACATCCTCTCCCCAATTTCACTCCTACAATGAGTGAAGAAGCATTTATTCAAATCATGACAATATCTAATTACAGATTTTGCTTTGACAAACCAGAGATTTAATTTTTATTCACATCTCTGTGTGAGTAGCTACTAAGCTCTTAGCAGTTACAACATCTTGAGCTGCTCCTGACAGAATTTAGCTCTTTAATAACGGAACAAGTATTGAGCTATTGAGAGGTAGGGAGAGAATTGGTGCACTTATTCAATACACAGCAATCTGTATGTATAGGGCCAGATTCTATAAGTTTCCACCAGTGGAAACCCAGATGCATGGCTATGGTAGTGGAAAGGCTGTGGAGAGGGAGTGGTATCGCCAGGGCCGGCTCCAGGGTTTTGGCCACCCCAAGCAGCCAAAAACCAAAAAAGGAACGCGATCGCAATCGCGATCTGC